GTACTCTCAGTCTGAGTACTATCTCTCTCTGCCCCTCTCTATTTCGGGGCCTCGCATTTGTCTGGGATTTGCAGCTTTGGGACAAGACGGGCTTCGCATACAAGGGGGTGGTTTAGTTGCTGGAGCAGCCTAACCCACAACAGGTGTGTGGTTCCTGGGAACCTCAACTCATCAGCTGTCATACACAGTGATACCACCTGTGTATCTCCTCCATATTTCTCCAAATATGAAGGAACTTAATAGAGACAGGGCAATAAAACAATGAGTGCAATTTGGTGTAGATAAGTGTAAAATGCTGTGCAGCCAGGGACAGGGAGAATGACAATGTGAACATCACGTATGAAATAATGTGCTCTGACTGATCATTACCACAGAAATAAGATCCCGGGCTTGCTGAAATTGACAGCTCAGCTGAAAACCAAATGGAGACCATCATTATGCCACTGATTAAAGCTATGCATCTGCATGTTGGCTGTTGTGTGCACTTTGCTTGCACAATCCATTCATGCAAAAAAAGAGAGGAACAGGAAAGATTCAGAAAAGTGTCATAAGGGTGGACAGATACCTGGAACAGCTTGCCTAAGGAGACAAACTAAGCAAGCTATGGCTATAAGCTAAAAAAGAGACAACTGAGATGGGATCATAGGTGCCTATAAAATCAGGGATGATATGTAAAAGGTGACTGGAGATCAATTGTTTGCTGTCTCTTACAGTGCAAGAACCTAGGGACCTCTAGAGGCAAGGGAAAACTTCAGAAAAGGAAGGAAAAGAAGTGTTTCCTCACACAGTACGTGTCTGAGCTCTGAAGCTACCTTGCTATGGGTTCAAAAGTGAACTGGACAGACTCCTGGAGCAGTGCTGTAGGTGGTATCGCTGTGTATGACAGCTGATGAGTTGAGGTTTCCAGGAACCACACACCAAATCTCAGTCACCTCCAGTCCCTGTCTTAGGATCCAGAAGTGGGATATCATCACTTCTCACGTGGAGCTGGAGACCCCCATCATGCAGCACTAAAAACGAAGCTCTTCCAGGTTCTGCAAGCATTAATAAATGGCAGGTTTGGTAATCAGCAGTATTTTCCAGGTAGCAAGCAATAATTTACCATTCTTAGTCCTCCTTCCAGATGGCAATGTACTGGCCAGGTGCCTGTCCTCATCTTTTGCCTTAAGTGTGTAAGGGCATAAGCCTTCACTTTTCCCCGACGAGTGGTCCTTCCTCCAAGCAAGAGACATGTGCTGTCCTTCCAGACTCCCAGCCAGCCTCGGGGAATGTGACTGCATATTGCTGAGTTATTCTTCTCATCAGTGTTAGTTGCCCTGCACCACAAAAATACTTCATTTTCATTGTTTTAGGCAAAATCTTTATGTAGCTTAATCTTTTCTCACAACTTTCAATCTCTTGGATTAAAATATTCCAATTTGCTCTGTACCCCAGGCCAAGTGTTGCTTAAGCATCAGTGTAAAACAGCCCGAACTTTAACATGCTTGAAAAGAAGGATGGGAGATGGGATGGAGAAAATACCTGAAATAGTTTTAAGTGAATAGTTTTCTTTTAAGAATTCTGTGACTTGAAGGATTTAGGAAAGGGTAGCTGAAAATCTGGTGAGGGAGTGATCCTATGGGTGTAGGGCTACCTGTATTTGACTTGGGCTTAGATTTTTCTTAAAAATGTTGGGGGCCAGGGGAGCCGGGGCTAAGCAAAACAAAAATCAGACCCTGGAAATCTACACTTCTGCTTCTCTGTCAACATGTGGGCATTTTTAAGTGCAGTGTTCGTTGCTACATAACCAAGGGGAACATTCACTATGTGTTTGGTTCTGCTTGTGGAGTGTTGGAGATACCAAGGCAGGTGTGGTGGGTTTTGTCACTGTCTGTCCCGCATCAGTCTGGATGCGAGTAGGTCCCGGATGGTAGCAGGGCTCTGACTGGGGGCTTCCTCCTGTTGGGGGAAAACTCGTAACTAGGCTTGGCCTGTTTTAAAAGTGCATGTGGTCATCTTAACTCTGTCGGTGATAATAGGCCCTAAACGCATACGCATTTTTCCCTCATGCATAATGCTGCTTCATATTTAGGATTATTTAGCTTATCCATTACCTCAGTTGTCTGAGGACACACTGTAAAAAAACTATAGAAAAGGCATTTTAGGCTATGTGAATGACTTCAGCTTAAGGAAAGCATGACTAAGGGCTGAGAGAATGTGGAGTGAAAATTACCCTCTTCAAGATGAAGAAAATTCCCAGAAAAACTAGGCATGGGGGAAATGCCTGGCTCTTTAACGTAGCTGGTCGTACAATGTTTGTGGGCAGAAAGCCAGCCCTCTACAAATGCATTGTGCGAGCGATGTAGTCTTTGTAAACTTGTCATTTAAATAAAAAAAACAACACAACATTTTTGGGGTGTATCTGATAGAAAATACATTCAAAGGACCTTGTGGTTATCTCTTTCTCTGCCCTGGAGTCCTATTGGACCAGGCACATGTGCTCAATGGCTTTTCATAATTCAAATATGGAAAATGCCACAGGTCTTTAAAATAACCTGATTGCATTGTATCAGTGCAATTCTGCTGCATCCAGAGGCTCTCTGTGGGGCAGGTTTGGGATGTTACTGCCTGCCTGGGCGCTGTCAAGAAAATGGTTTTTGAAATTTTTTTCAACATGCAGGCATGGTTGTAACAGTGATGAAAGCCTGCAAATATGATTTCTTTTTTAAGAGCTGAGGAAGAGAGTAATCTTGTATTGTTAAACCTCCAGTTACTAATAAATGCTTTCTTGTGGTGTTGTTGAAGTGAGCTGAGATCCCATTCCCGCTGTCACAGCTGTGTACTCAAATTCCTGTGCTGCTTCATCTCCTTTCCCACTCATTTTTTTCTGAACTAATTCAGTGACCACCTCTGTACTTTTAATCTTGAAAAAAAGGCTCCTAATGTGCCCTTGCCATCCTCTCCCAGGCTCCTCAAAGCTGGCTCCTGCAGCACAGCTAGAGCCCTGCCACTCACTCTTCATTTCTGCTCGCTGCTGCTGTTCTCGCTTCAGAATTTTGCAGAAGTGAATGTATGGGGAGATGTGTCCATACCCTTAAGAATTCATTCGTAATTTCGTACGGAAATGTTTCACAGTGATTCACAGTATATTTCTGATGAATGAGCTGTTCCTACAGAAAAACTACAGTATCAGGCTTGTGTTTCCAACAAGGACTGGAGAAAGCACAAGTGTTTGGGAGCTGAGTTAAATCCAGACATGGTGGCCTTTCCTCTACTGATACATGTATTTTAGTGCAGATTTAATAAATATATTTCCTTAATCGAGACTTAAAAAGATTATGTAGGGAAGAAAAGAGAAGCTGAAGGCAGAGGACAAGTTTACTGGCTCAGGTTACCAGGGAGAAGAGTTGCACTGGGTGCAGGCATGTCACCTGCTGCTAGATGTCTGCAACATCAAGGAAAGCATAATAAAATACATCTTGGCAACATAGCAGAAACAAAATTGTGACTAGGAAAGTCAACCATGGTAAGCACAGTAATAGTACATCCGGTGAAGTAAAGGTGCAAGGAGTTTTCCCCAGAAAAACACATTAACCTTTTATGGAGGGAGATGCGACCTTGGGAACTCAGGAGAGTTTCATAACTCCAGAAGGAACAAGAAATGACAATCTGATAACACTTCCTCAAGAATGCATGGCATTCTTTGTCGTGAGTTTCATGTTCTCCGAGGGATATGGATGACTCAGGCTACAACAGGTCTATGAAGGAATTACTTACTGGAGGTGTGTGCAAGTGTGAGTTGCTTTGTTGCTTCCCAATATGTTGTAGATCCTTGTTATAATTCAGTCCTATATAGTATTTTTTTATGAATGAGAAGTAGTACAAATGAATGACCTTGTAAATAATTTGTGATAATCTTAACTGTACATAAAATTAAAGTCTGCACTCTGCTATGTGATGTAAATCTGTGGGGTTTCCCACAGAGAAGAGAATTTGGTTGAAAAATTTTGTTAACGGAATACCAGTTTATTTTTAAGGTAATATTAGTGTGAGAATTTGTAACCTGAAAAAAAAGCCTTTTCTTTGTTTGCCATGTATGTAGGAACATAGCGGGGCTAGGAGAGAAACTGAAACACTTGCACCTGCTTATGCTTTCAATAGGACCAAAGTTTTTGACTTTGAGCTTTGTTCACTTCTATGTTATTCTCAGTCTCTGTCAGGGTGAAGCTGATGTAAAGCTGGAACGGTGCAATGGGGAGTCGGGCACCTTGTCTCCAGGCTTTTCCCGTCTTTATTAAAAAGTTGAGCCTGATCCAAAGCATGGGATATCAGGCTTCTCATGTGCTTGAGAGTATCTGTCTCTGAAATTCCAGCCAGGATCCAAATTTGTGTATGAGCCATATATCTATAAACAGAACCTCTGAAACCCACCAGCTCTACTGTTCTGAGGAGGTTATTGTGTTGTCCCCTTGGGAACAAGGATTAGCGCAGACGTGCCTTCTGGCTCCCTGGCACAGGTGCTTAGTGAAAGAGTAACTGCTTGGAAAGGAGAAAGGAGGTCTTTGGAAAGAATTAAGATTGGGCTGATATCCAAACGGGGAACTGTTCCTGCCGTATTTATGTTAATTCATGCTCATTTTATAAATATTGAATGATGGCTGCTTTTTTTGAAGGTGCTGAACACCTATAGTTTCCATCAATACAAGCGGGCATTTTGCATACTCAATGCGCATTCCTTAGGAAAAGATCCCACTGAGGATGCTTACTGAGTCCCCTGCTTAATTCTGCTGCTTGCAGGAACCATTCTACAAAGGTTTTCTGCTGCTCATTTCAGTTAGGGTTAGTAGATTCTTCCTCGAAGGGCAGAGATGAAAAGAGATCTCCTTGCTTGCTGCATAGCAAAATGGCTCTTGGCTGACCTGGCAGTCGAAATTAGCTATTTTTTGAAGGCTCTGTTCTCCCATTTGTTTGGGACTGGTAGTGTTTTGGCCTAAATAGCTGTGCTTTGTGCCTCCTGGCAGACCATGCAACAGATGAGTGACCACCGCTACGACAAGCTGACGGTGCCGGACGATGCTGCAGCAAACTGCATCTACTTAAACATTCCCAGCAAAGGCCACATCCTACTGCACCGAGCCCCCGAGGAGTACCCAGAGAGCGCGAAGGTGAGAGCTGCGCTGAGGGTGCCTGAGACACCCCCAGCACCCTAGCCTCGCTGGGAGGTCAGTGGGAGTTGGACTTAAGTGCTTTCCAGAATGGGCTGTTGCATCCCATCATGGAAATACCAGATGGTGAAAGGTGGGAGTCCTGGCCTCTGTTCTCACCTCCACTACTGATTTAATTACTTTGCTTCTTCTGCCCCTGGTGCTGCTTCTACATAATTAGAAGTAGTAACAGTTTCCCTCGCTGCAGTATTGATGCGCATGAATCCCATAGCCAGAAGGCCACATATACTGTAAATGTTAGCGTTGATTACAAACGATGAGACAGCTTAGCACCCGCTGATAAATCCATGCCTGTTCATTCTGTAAATACATAGAGAAGAGGGAAAATAGGTGTCAAATGTAATGGTTTCTGTTCCATTTTCTTTCCTAAACAGGTTTTTGAAAAACTGAAGGACCACATGCTGATCCCAATAGCGAACACAGAACTGGAGAAAGTAGACGGGGCACTCACCTGTTGCTCTGTGCTTATTAACAAAACTTCAGAATTATGAGTTTACAGAGTCCCTCCCTTGTACCTGGCAATAATGTTACACACAAGGTAGACGAATCTGTATCCACACTTAATTATTGTTTTTATTGACAATCTACTGTACCACTGTGCTACTAACCCTTGTTTACAAATATTTTGCTTTGTGTATTTTTATGTCCTTGCAGATGGTATTTAAGGTGGATGTACAGTTTGTTGGGGGACACAACTGAAGTGCGTTAGTTCCATGGGCTTGCAGAAGACAATTGTAATGGCTAGCTCCTAGCTTTAGTGATTTAACACATCCGTGTGAAAATTTTGTGAAAACCCACTAATTCTCAACATTTCAAGCACCTCTGATGTCTTTACACTGTACCCTTCTGTCCTTTTTCTCTTGCTTCCTTGCTCTGCATCTTTTTTTCTTCCTTGATCCCCTCTACTTTCAGTGATGCAAGGTATCAGGGAGGAGTGAAGAAAACTCATTGGGCTCATGAACTTGGTATCTTGTGTGGTATGGAAGCTTTCTGTACAGTAGCTGGAACCGTGGGCAATGGACTGTCCTCACTGCCTTGGCCATATCACGTTGCTGCTGCTGGGCAGAGTTGTGGCTGGTAATCAGTTTCAGACACCAGGTAGCAACTTTGGAAAAAGCGTCCTCCAACAAGAGTGTTCAAGGGCGTCTGCCTGGGAAACTCAAATGACAGAAAAAGAGAGAGTAGTGCAGCCACACAAGATAATACCACAAGTTCAGGTCCCAGTTTGCTGCTTAATGCCAGGACTTCCAATTTGGCGAGAATGGAAGAGGAGTTTTTGAAAAGGCCAGATCCTAGGGAATACCCAGACCCTGAAAATGACAGACTTGAGATGCTTTTGGTAAAGTTAAACATACAAAAGCAATCTAAAATATGGGGGGGGTGGTAATTCTCTTTGTTTACTTTTAAAAATTTATTTCTCTCTCTGTTTTCTCCTCTTTTGGAGGCCACTTACTAGCAAAATTCAAAAGGGTGATAGGAGTTGAAGGGCAGCTATTCCTGGATTATGCTCATGAATAAGGGAAGCTATATTTTCCTGAAAGATTGGCGCTTGTACTTTATCTGCCCTTGGGGCAGTTTTTCTTGGAACAATAACCATCTTTTTTTTTAATTGCATGAATATTTACTGTGGTATTCAGTTAAAACGAATATAATTTTTGTAGCAAATTCCACAACATGTTTACCCACTGAGTCATGCTTTTTGTCACCACAGTAAAGCATAGCATACCCCATTGTATTCACATGCTTCTCATTAAATCATTTGTAAACTAAGGATGAAGAAATTCCCTAACAGAGGCAGTAGTGGGAACTCTCCAGAGACTGACAAATAGTCTGAACATGTTATCAACTTCCTAGACCTCCACTTTTCCTGAACCACTTGTGGTGTGTTGCTAAGGTACAGTAGGAAGTGAGCACGGCGGAGCTCGGGCAATGTGATCTGCAGGAAAGCAAACATATTAACTCAGCGCACACTTGGATATCCTTTGGAAACCTGCATGCTTTTTTGTCCAGTCATAAGAGAGGAAACACAAGTACTCATATCCGTAGGTACTCCTCAGCGTATCTCTTGTCTCATCTCAGTGGAAACCTCCTGGCAGATACTGGAACACATCTGATGATGCTCTGTGGGCACACTGTACGTTGTGATGACATGAGATATCATGAGGGAGAGAGCAATGACGAGTGAATATAATGTGTGTGAAAAGAGAGTGTGTCCCAAAGGAATTCTTTAGCCAGCCAAACAGCAAGTGCTGTTTTTATGGCTGTGTGCTGTCTCAAAGGATTCTCCTAATGTTTCCCCTTTGTCTCCTCCATTGCCATGCACCATCACTTAAACCTGACCCAGGTGATCAGGCTCTAAGGTTGTAAACATTGCAGTGGGGAATCTCTTTTCCTACCTTCCTTTGGTGCTTTTAAAATATCTGATAAAGCAGCTTGCATTTTAAAATGACTCGACATTAAACAGAGATTTTGTGCCAAAAAGTGACCCTGTAGTATTTAACTGTGACCTTGTGGAGGGAGGCTGTACTCCATTAAAAACCTTTGCAGCCATGGGAGCTGTCGTACAAAGCCAGAAGAGAATCCCCCTGACCTGTTTGTGCACCTTGTGGGGCCTGGTCCCCATCCCATCCTTCAGTCCCTCTTTCCTCCTCTCGCTAGGGAGCAGAGCATCCAGCTATGCTGGGACAGTGTTAGGCATGGGATTTCAGTTCAGTTTATCTCTGAAACTTTGTTGTGAGTTTTTTTTTCTTCCACCTTCTCTCACCTTTCGCCTGTCTTTCACTTCCTCAGACTCTCATTTCTAGTTTATGGCATGATGAGGACTTTTCTCTTTTAACCCCAAGAGATTTTTCCTTCTGTTGCCTCAGTTCTACTTCAGTCTTTTTTTTTTCTGCACTCCTTCCTCTTTGCTGCTCACTCCAAAGTATCCCAACCCATGGTGGACTATCCTAAATTTGATCCCTCCTTGAGTAGGTGTCAGGAGGGAGGAGAAACTGAGAGGTCTGGTTTGGCTCTGGGTGACTTCTTTTGAGCTGGAAGGATGGCTGTCAGCAGGAGCTGACAAGGGTGACTCCTCTTCTTTAGGATTAAAAGAAAACAGAAAAGAGAAACATTTGTGGTGGACATTGTTGATATCTTGTGTCCCTAAAAGCAATAGATAGGTGACAATGAATTCCGCTGGCTTCCCGGGAGAGGGAGAGTCAGGATCTCAGAGCTGAGAAGCATCTCTGTTGACTCAGAGGTCGATCTTTCACCTCTTGCCATTTAGATTTCCTTGCCCTCAGAGCTGCATTTTGGTATACAAAAAGAACAAAGGAGTGGCTGAGACCTGAATTTCCTCAGGTGATGATTTCAAGTTATATTCAAACTGTCTAATTTCAGGCACAGAATTTAGGTGCTCTAAATCACACCTGCTGTCTCTGGTCTCAGTAGGTGTCATAGTCTCCTAACGCATATTCTCTAAATTAAACCTTAGCCTGATGCCAAAAGTTACCTAAGCTGGTTAGTGGGATTGCCCTCGTCTCTCTGCTTTTAGCATTATTCTTTATTATGGCTTTATAAAGCAAAAACACTAAGAGCACTTCAGTTTGTGCATTTGCAGTATGGTACTAAGAACTAAAATCATGCCAAATGGTTCTCGTTTGCTATTTTTTCTGTTGCCCAAATGAAGAATTCAGTTGTGAGGACATTTCTGCTGTGATACATATGCATCTAGTGGGCATCCTGTACATCTTGTCACCAGAACATTTCTCAGATGCCTGATAGAAATCATCATCCTTGATTAATATAAATAATAAAATAAATTCCCAAACCAAAAAAGGAGATGAGACACTGAACACTAATGGCTGCCCACATGACAGCTGACAGGCTATATGACACAGCAGACCAGTGCAGAAGTTCTTGTGGTTAATAGCTCAGCAATGGGGCTTGAATTACTCATCAAAGGTGGTGGTTTTTTTTTTTCTTTAAGCAATCAGTTTAGCTCACTTCAAATGAAGGAGCTGCAATGTGCATGATAGATCTTTCATGGATGTTATCTTTGCTAAGAGTTTAGGAAAAGCTGTGATATGTGGGTTGGTTTCCTCACCAGAATGTGAATACAGTGTCTCTCTCGGCAATGAAAATGTGAATGCATACTGTACCTTATAAGATAAACTTGAATTCTTTCATTTCTGCATTTTTGTCTTTTCTATGTTAATATGCTTCTTTTTGGCCTTAAATAGATGCCAGTGTGCGAAGCTATGCTCTGGGGTTGTTTTGAGATTTCCATGTCATAGGTGCAGAGCTTGTAGGCAACACTATGTCCAGTCTTAAAAACAAAAAGTCAGTGCACAGAATGCACTGTCACAAATTAGGGATGAAATATGAAAAAAAAAAAGAGCTTTTGATTTCATTCAGCTTCTTATACATTATATCAATAAAGTCAGAGCCAAATTACTTTGATAGAAAACATTGGCATTCATGTGGAACCATTTGAGGAAAATAATTTGCTATTTAAGATTCTCTATTTTTGCTTTTATCAATAAGGAAGCTGAAAAGGTGAGACTGCTTAAAGGTTGGTATTTGTTAAGTGATTGTGAACAAAGTATCATTGGACCTCATGTATTTTCAGAAAAGTTTTAACTGGACGTATGATGTAACTTGTATAGAGTTGCATGTGAATCGTGTTAGTCACTGTTTTACATTGTATTGTTCTGCAGTGCACAAATATGACTACTGAACACAAGCGTTACGTTTCATTAAACTTAAAATCTTGTTGCAGTATATAGTTCCCCACTTTTTGTGCCAAAACCATCAATGCATTCCATAATCTGTTCTAATAGAGGTTTGCACTTTGATTTTTTTCTTTTGTGATTCTTGCAGTTTCAATACTATATATCCCCATCACGAAGGAATAAAGTGTCAGTTGTACTGTGCACTGTGTATTTTTGCCTCTTCTTTTGAAACATTAGTACTGTTTCATGCCATCTTTTTATTTGGAAGCTTGTTATATGCCTAGAAATAAAGAAATTAAACAAAAATAATTTATAGACACTAGTGCTAAAACCTTTAAGCCTGTTAGAAGAAATCTTGACTCTTTAAAAAAAAATCATGAATTTAGACTCTACCTTTACGAGTAATGTATAGAAAGAGGGGTATTGCCTAAGTACTCTAGACCCAATGGTTGTGACTAAATTTTATTATTGTCCCAGATAACTAAACAGATGTTACTGTGATATAGTATTTTCTCTGTAGTTCCTGTATTTACCGTAAGTTACAAAAGGTGAAACTACAAAGGTTTAGTGGCGTGACCGTTATGGTTAAATTATTAACGTAGCTCTTGTGTCTTTTCTCCCCCAGGATGTCAAGAGAGGTGACTACATTCAGACATTGCTTTGTGGAAACATGACAGATGATCGCATGTTTTATATCTAAGTTGTACTTTTTGTGTCCTACAAATAGTGCACGTGGAGCTAATCTCTGCTTATACTCTAATATCATTAGGTTATGATTTTAGGATTAACGATCTCAGGAGACAAAAGCAATTACTCCAGGCTTCATGGACATGTGTGTAAGTGCTCATGGGCCTTCAGTGCCACCTCGTGGCTATCCAAGTTTCAATCATTCAAGGCCTCAATATTATATTATTGTTGCCTCACCTTTTTAAGAAATTCAACATAAAATTGAGTGCTGTAGCAAAAGAATTACATCACTTCCAAACTGTACAGCTTTGCTAGTAATAGGACTTTAAGTACACCATAATCTAGTATTCTTCTTGCTGGAGAAGCAGGGACAAGGAAGGATTTCATTAGGGCTGATCTAAACACAGCCTTTTCTACTAATTTAACTACACTAGTTGGAAATACGATTTTTGCACTAATATGTTTTAAATGTGGAGATGTCCATGTGGAGACCGGTCACGAGTGGCGTCCCTCAGGGGTCCGTGTTGGGCCCGGCCCTCTTCAACA